AATGTTTGGAATAATCTGATTATTATCAATTTTAATAAAAATGTCACGAAACAAATCATACCTGAGCTGCCACTGTCATGTGTGAATTAGACCAAGAATTCAAATAACCATGACTTTCGGTAAGGACACATTTTTTGAGCAATCAAAACAATTTCAGCTATGGCGGTCGATACGATATGATTCAGATGCCTGTACCACTTTAATGATTGTTCAATTGTATCAAGCTTCAACATGAATGTCTCTTAAATTCTCATACGTTTTTGTAGTTATTCACAATTTCACCTGGAATTTTAATACAACGTTTGGTTTCTGATCCAACTCGAATTTCCATTTATTTTGTTTGACAATTCAACTCCTATATTCTTAAACCTTGAAATATGTCGAACGACACTATACCAAAAATCGTTCGTCTATAGAACGGCAAAGATTTGGAATTCTTTGGCAATGGAGGTATTCCCAAGAACTTATAACTTCCAAAAGTTCATAATAATAATCCAATGCACCTAACTCCTCTCCCCATCCTCCCATGGTACGCACGATGTTTTTCGAACATCATAGGAATTTTCTTGCGTACGCTCCAAGAAATAATTTTAAAAAATCACCTAATAGAAGAAAAATAATAATTGGAACCCAGTGTTGGTAGCTAAAGAGTTCATTGTAATTCAGGTGAGTATTTATTCGTTACCTATTTCCAGAACAAGAAAAATATAACCTATAAAAGTTTTGAATTCGATTTTTGTGAAAAAACGATTGTTGATGTCGATTGAAGATGTCAGTGCGTTTGAAATGTCACTATTAGGAATCTAAAAAAGAAATTGAATCGATAGTCGGTGACACCTTATTCGAAAGATGTTTAAATGAGAATATAGGTATTTTTGAATATAAAATGATACTTGCGACACCAATCTCTTCAGCCTAGATTTTCCACTATTCTAAGTGGAGTATTCCATATTTCAATTCAATTCTTACGAAGTTTTGCACAGAGACATTCACTGTGGTTCTCAGTTCTATTTATTTTCAGTGATGACACCAAGAAATTTCATTGTTTTCGATGCATTCTTATGCATCGTGTTTTCCCGAAATGTATCTTTTGTCTTATCGTGGGATATTTCAACACCCCATTTCATATTAGGTGCGATACATACAATAAAAAATTCATGATGTTTGCAAAAATTTTGCAATTTTGAGGAAATATCTGATCATGAAAACTATAAACCATAATAAAATTCGATTCATATTTGTTTCAACAGAAAGCTAATTATTTGGTATAATCATTACAGGGAAACAAAATGAAAACATTGAAAACCCATATTCTTTGGAGGCTGTAAAAATCACTTGAAATGTCATTTGAATAGTAGTCGCTATTGCAGGCTTGTCCTTCAGACTTCAATTGACCCCTGTGATAAGAGAAAAGAAATCGCTTCATGGAAAAAAAATCTTACAGGAATATAGTTCGCACACCCCAATCACTCTTTTTTTGGAAAGTGGTTGAAGTTTAAAGTTTCCAAAAAAATCTAATTACTTCGATTTCCTAGATATAACGTATTTCAAATCGTTTCAAAAGATATTTTCCTGGATACAAATGACACTTTTTTAAATTCAATTGACTATTCTGAAATACAAAAGCCACAATTTTGTCAAAAATTAGTTGACCAAATTAAAGCACTCTGTATTCCATCTTTAATATCACATTAGCCAATGCTCTCTCCGATCACAGATGGCACTACTATCATAAGATCCCGGTTTGGCAACTTCATCATATTTTGCACCAAAAGGGGACAAGCCACCGTTGAAATCAACATGGCGTCAGAGGATCCACGTGATGCTGACAGAAAATTATACTTTTTCCAGTTTTGTGATGAAGATAGTGAACCTGATCCTATTTTGACGATTTCATTACATACACTCCGATGGCATATCCCCTTTTTATGCAAATCATTATAACCCTTTCAATTATTGGCATATATAAAAAAGGATAGTCACGTTTTTTTTTCAAAAATATTTGTTAACTCAAACATTTTTTAATAGAAATGTGTGCAAACATAACTCTATGTCTGATTACATATTTGCCAACAAATGTTAACCTCAGTTTCAAAAAATACAAGTTGAATGGATTTCACGATTTAAAAATTTTGAAAAACATGCGATTTCTCCCAATCTACATTTTGTGGCTTGTCTCCATCTGGTCCCAAGGTCTTCAAATACAAGTGACTATTCTGAAATACAATAATTGATGCTTTCTGAAATAATTACAACTGGAAGAGGTATAGTATATTCGTATCGTCAGCATAGGACCTGAGTTGTTGACAATTTCTGTGAATAGTTTGTCAGATCATTTGCGTAAATGAGAAATAGTAGAAGGACCAAACTGGAACCTTGAAGTACACCCTGTTTAATGATTATAGAGGGGGACTTCGAGGATTCTGATGTCTATTGAAATGGTGATTAATCAATTGATAACAATCGGTACCGTAAAACGGGGCTACATTGTGCAGGTTTTGAGGTATTTTTTATTCTAGGCGATGTATTTATAATTGAATCAAGGGTAGCAATACAGGGTGTTAATTGATTGAGTGCCGATATAATACAAGGTGTGAATCCTCGGGTGATTTTGAGGAGAAAAGTTCATATAAACATAATATGTCCTAAACCTCTTTGTTTGTGAGCTACAGGGTGTTGAAAGAGAAATGTGAGTTTTTTACTAGGTTTTTTATCATAATTCTTTATCACTTATAAATTGCATGATAATTCAGCACGCTATGTTTAAATTATTTATACGAAATAATGAATGTAGGTACTAATGATATTATGTATAAACCAAAAAATAGACAATACTTTTTCTGATTCAGATCAAATCCAATTTTTTATTTACCTCTGCTATAACAGTTTGTGTCTCACGTATATTTTTTTTATTTGTTTTGTATTTTTGTCGTCCATTTCAACTATTCGTTCCTGTTTTTTATATACTCAAATCTTATAATATATTTTCGAATTGAGAATTAGGAATATGATTAGTTTTGTATAAGAATCCACTATACACTGTTTTACCACTAACCAAACCGATTTTTTACACCTTAAAACGTGTTTCGCTAACTATGTTAGCATCTTCAGGAGAAGAAAAGAAACACGTATCGAGGTGTATAAAATTGGAAATAGGTTACTTTTCTGTTTACTAAAAGTATATAATGTTTCGACGTCATAGGTTTATTTCATTATCCTTTCTTAGAATTCGTATTCATCTCATACAGATCTATTGAATTTTTGACAAGGCATATTTACTGATGGAATAACTAGCGATATGGCAACCCTGGTCCGCGCGGAGAGTGAGTTGACTACAACTGTCATTTGTTATTGTCAAATTAATTATTTACGAACTCCGATAGATTTCACGTGTGAATAGGACCAGGATGTGCATATAAGTGTTTGAGGTCGACAAAAAAATTGAATATGCACCTCGACAAAAAACTGTCTATCGTCTCGCCTGATTGCTAGCCTCGGCTAAGGCCTCTACATGAATAACTATTTCATCAAAATTATGAACGAGTGCTGCCCGCTTCTGAGAGAAGAAATCCGTGCAAACCTCTTTCAATCGACGAATCATGATTTACGTTTGATGTACGATCAATATAATGAGTTAAAGTTGAAGGGAATCGAATCTATATCGTTTTGAAATCAGCATATATTATTTCATTCGATATTTCAAACAGCCAAATATGATGGTCGAGTCCCGAACTGTGGCTATCTCTCTCTGATACCTCGTCATTCTGCAGTGTTGCAGTGTGATTGGTCAGTTCAAGGACAATAGGCGTGTTGGGAATAAGACGTCGCACCAGTCACACCAATGAATTGACAACATTTCAAATGGCGCAGGAATTGTGTGTTTTGAAATGGACATATTCTAATTTATTTTTTTCATCGTCTTAGCATGAATGACGAAATTCAAAATTGATTCGCTAGTAGTTTTTCAGTATAGAGTTCACGATAATGTCATTTTAAAAAATCAGTGGTCTTCCCCAAGGGCGTCGCCAGCGGAAAAAATAGGGGGGGCACCATGAAATAACTGAAGAGAAAAATCAAATAGAAAGAGTTTAATGAGAAAATCAAAAAACAGAAAAAAATCTATACAGTAAATCAGTTGAAAAATAATCGTCTAGGGTTCTTTGGGAATTCGTTGGTCACTTTTTGACGAAATCGTTCAAGTTTTTGAAAATATGTTGCCTGTGTATACTCATCATTGCGAGGCCATTGAGTCGAGCATCATACATGGTGCTCCTCAATCAGGTTTTGATTCTCCTAAGGCTACTAAATGACCTCTCAACTGTACAAATCTTACAAGGTAAAGGCAACAAGGATCTTCAGAGCCTTCTCAACTTCAGGAGAAAAATATACTTTCGGAAGTTCTTTGCTCAAAGTAAGCGTTATCATAAGTAATATCACGATATTCTTAATATTCGAGATAATTCTGTCGCCTCCTTGTTCACGAAATTGTGTTGCTGAGCAACACCACGAGTCAGGACGAAAGGTAGGGCTGTACGGCAACACAATAGATTTGACAAGGAAATGAAGAATTATGAGAATATATTCAGAACAGAGTGGAGACTATTTCACGTTCACGAAGCAAAGAAGCATTTATTTTGAATGAATGATTCATTCTGACAAGTACAGTCATTATTTTTTGCCAAATTGACAGACTTCGCTTCGCTACCCATGGTTACATCGTTGAAAACATCTAGTTTTCGCGATAAGCACACGTTTTCTCTGGCTTGTGATTGGTCAGATTATGTGATGAATGAAATAGTCGTTTCAATGATAGCAGGGTGACTGGTGAGCGTTAATCGTAGGGGGGGGGGCAGCTGCCCCACCCTGCCCCTCTCTGGCGACGCCCTTGGTCTCCCCCATTTGCCGTGTGCCAAAGTAGCCCCGTTTCAAGGTACTTTTCGTTCGTTTTTTCTTCTCACTAGTTTTTGTTTTTTTTTATTATATATTATGTTACCGTTTCAGACTGCCGCCGGGGGTGAACGACTGCCCGGCCGGCCAGACGGCCAGGGTGACTTCCAATCTGCACCCGACTAGTACTATGGCCGTTAGCCGGGTGCCGAGCCCCCCGCCTCAAGAGGTCAACACGCCCGTCGCCGAGAATTGGTGTTACACGCAGGTGAGGCCAACGAAAAACAACACCTTCTTAGTTTTTTTCCACCACTTACTTGTGAATTGGCCATTGTTCAAGAATTTCCTCTAATGAGAAGTTACGCGGCGGTGTCCTACGTGGGCAAACTCTATGCGAACGCGACGGAACGCGACTTTGGGGCGATTCCGGGCGGAGCGATGCGATGCGGTCCTAATACGTACACCGCGCCATATTCGCGAATTGGTATTCCTGTAATGGCAAAACGTTCACTTGAAAACATATCTCAAATACATATATTCTTGAAGAAATATCGATAACAAAGAAGTGGAACTAATATACAGGGTGAGTCAGTTGTTTGTAGCAGGACTTCAACAGCTTGAAGGAGACATTATTTTTAAGATGAATATCTTCCACAAACATATATGCGTGGGAGCTTCGTTTCCTATATACAGGGTTTCAAAGTTTTGCACGACCCCATCAGAGAACGCTCGATAGCCTCAAATATTCCGTTTCCGAAGTGTACCAGGCGTACCAAATTTCAATCCATTATTTCTAAAAATGTAGGAAAACACTTGAAAAACACAAGACGAATTTCAAACTTTGATACCCTGTATATCGGAAACAAAGCCCCCACGCATATATGTTTACATGGGGTTTTCATCTTGAAAAAAAAATGTTTTTCGGGCTGTTGAAATCCTGCTACAAAATACGGACTCGAAATATAAAGTTTCATTCCAAGTAAATTATTTTTGCCATTTATCTTGAAACCCATACAGTTTTCAGTGTATCATCCTGTAGGTTTTTGAAGAATGCTCGACAGCTCGAAATATCGTTTCCAAAGCGTGATAGGTGTACCAAATTTCAATTCATTATTTTGGGAATTGTTGGAGCAAAATTGGAGAAACACAAAAAAATTTTAAACTTTGAAAATCTGTATGTCGAAACGAAGCTCCCACGCAATATAATTATGTTCACATAGAATTTTCATCTTAAAAAAAAATGTCTTCTCTCAGCTATAGGGTGAATCAGTTTTCTAAAACTGAATACGTATACGAATACGTATACGAATACGTATACGTATACGAATTATGGGACACCTTGTATATCACCATATTCGTTGATATGAATCTGTCGAAAAATCTGGTTCGTCTTGCGATTCTCATCGTGATTAATTCCTATTCTAGATCGAGACCTCGATTCCCACGACTTTTATGTAACGCTCTCTCTGTAACAGCCTATACAGGATCGGCTTTAGAAGAATATACAGGGTGATTCCGGTTTCACGGTACTAACTGACATGAGTGATAGACCTCATCATTTTAATCAAAAAAGCTCATAAAAACATGAGTCCGATCTCGATCAGTAGCGGAGCTACAGTGGGTCAAAGTTCAATAATTTTTTCTATTAATTGAAATATCTCACAATATACGAAATAAGTTGTAATGATTGTGATAAAACATATATAGGCCAAACCAGGCGACCCATAAAAACAAGGTTCAAAGAACACATAGCCCATTTAAAATATGGCAGGTTAGATAAATCTTGTGTAGCCGAACATATGTTCAATCACAATCATAACACACATATTACTAACCTCAAATTAGTTAAGCAAGTTAATAACATTAGAAAACTAGACGCATATGAAAGCTTAGAGATATTTAAGAATAGTAATAGAGTAATGAATAAGGATAATGGACCTATTCCATATAGCCCTCTATATAGTTTAGTAAAATAAAATTAAGATTAACATGTGAACTCAACCATGACAAATATTAACTTGACGGTTAGTATTTTTCACAGTTGGGCGAACATATACCTAGTATATAAGCAGCACACTAGAATAGGATATTTAGTTTTAATCTTCTCCTGAAGATGCTAACATAGTTAGCGAAACACGTGTCGAGGCGTTAAAAAATCGGTTTGGTTAGTGGTAAAACAGTGTAGTGTATCTCACTCACTTTTGAAGATATTAATTTGAAATTGGGTGTGGTGAATATTTTCTAAAAGATCATAATGTGAAGCATTTCTACAGGGTGATACGTCGTTGGGGATAAAGGTTTCTTTATCTCCTCCTCAAATTTCTTCATAGTACGCCTCTGACATCTTTCAGTTTCCAACTATGGTGGATCGTTCAATTTAAAGGCTTTCTCTGCTTCTCAATTCTTTTCTATAACATGTTAATTTCGTCCGATTGTTGGAATTGAAAATAAAATGTGAATCAATCATAATGTGTAGCGACGATTTTTCTACGAGATCTAGCTCTGCATGGATTTTCAACCCGATTGAAACCAGTTCAAAAGGAGATGGGATTACTAATATCCGGAAAAGAATTGAATTGACTCGACGTGACCTTGAAGAATCCAACCTATTCGTGTTTGCATTGAGCTGCGATATTTTGTAAGATGAATGTATTCATCACCATTTTAATTACCACTTACCAGTTACAAAATCGAGCGTGGATCGACCCAATTTTGTTTTCTATTTTCGCCGTCAACCTTTTTCGTCAGTTCCATGGCGAAAGTCGAAAGTATGGTACCAGAAACAGATCGTATTGAGACATCACAATTCGGAAATGGGAAATAAATCATTCCCTGGCTATTATTGGAAGAGCATAAAACACGGTTACAAATCTGGGTCAATAAATTATATGTCCCTTTTTTTTGGTTCGCGTTTATGTTCGGATTATGTATTCGGCACGCTGTTTTCCAGTTTATATGCTTTTTGTCGATATTATTCAATATAAAATAAATTCTCTGTGGCGTGTCGTCATCCTCTTCTATACCGGGTGACCCACTTGGGACTATTTCACAGAAGATCATCGAACACATCGATTCTTTGGCCACATCCTAGAATGAGAAAATACAAACTCCCAATTTCACGGAAATAACTTTTTTTTTATGTTGTGGTACCCACGAAAAGGGATATCCTGTAATGTTCAGAGAACATCGTGAGAACCAAGGGAAATAACGTAGGAATTGGTGTTCTTCTTAAATTTATGGAGGTTATATTGATAGTCTTTCCTATCTTAGTTCTTGAATTTGGGACACACTACACATCCCATAAGTCATGGAACAAAAGAAGTATGGCAGTAGGAGTAGGGCGGGCTTTTCTGATATCTGCAGTCTGCTCTCAGTTTGCTTGACATAACTCAGAATTTTCCCAAAAATATAAATGACCATGAGTTTCTGGCGGTTCCTCAAGATGATATAATCTCAAGTGGCGTCGTATAATCTTTAAAGGATCGAGAGAAATTAATGCGGAACGATTTAGACCCCTAATAACGATAATACCTATTCATAACGTAACGGAAACTGGTTCAGACACAAAACTGACTACTAAAACGATCAACTCGTATTTTTTTAGATCGATATTTACGATTCAGCATTGTTCTGCAAGTTTCTTGACCTACATTAAAGATGTATTAAAATCTCCGACGTATTATTTGGTCTCGTTCTGATGACTGTCTCTTCCAATGGCGTACTAGATATAGAAAATACTCATATTACGAATATTACGATATGCCATACGAAATTTTTTCAAACGAGAGCGAAAGGTCGAGGTTGATAACGCTTCGATCATCGTAATAATAATAATGCTAATTATATTTACCTAAAAATATAGTGAATAAGTAATTGACACCTGAAATTGTCTGTTATAATAATTGCACGAGTGCATAAAAATTACCGATTATTTTGCAAGAAAGCGTGTTATCTAAGAATAGGCAACGACACAAATGCGTGAATTTGATTCAAATGTGCATATCATAATTGAAATGTAGTAGTAACATATGAATGTATATAATTTTTTCGAAAAATATCCTGTTATATTTCAAAAAACACCATTTCAATTTCATGGAACGTTCGTACATAGCATTTGGCGGCGCCAGTACTGACGTGATGATCATTTTTCCCGTGTTGCCAGCTGTTTTATTTCAAGGAAATATCAAGTAAATATTTCTCAATTTAGAATCGGTCCTACTGTGATGTGGTGAGATAATTTGATAGGATGCTATTACAATAATTGTACTGAATCTATTACTGAATACTATTCTCAGATATAATTATGAACATAAAAAAATGGATATATACATTTATGAAGAAATACATTGAGAATTCGCATTCAATTCAGAATTTCTTTTCACGTCCTGTATGATGGATGTCAATTTATCATATATCCAAAAACGCTTGTAATTCATTGGAAAATTTCACATAGCTTTCTGTTCAGTTGATTCAGAAATGAAATGGTATTTACTTCTTACAAATGAATATGAAAATATTGAATTAAAGTCAGTTGATAAAAACGTCCTATATCTCTCTTGCTTATATATCAGCTTGTATCAAATACTTCAGTCAATACAGAAAATCAAGACAATTTTCCGAGAATGATTTTTTCATTATTATGTTCAAATCGGAGTAGATTTGTTTCCAAACGTCCAAAGAAAATTTAAAATTTGATATATTTTTCAAACAAGAAGTCACTGAATTAAAAACTTACAACAAAATATGTATGTCAATAATTCACGTTCAATCAATTTTCAATTAAAAAATTAAAGAAGATATATAGGGTTGTTGATTACTGTGTATGGGAATTTAGTGATACGCCACTGGTTTCGTCATCTCTCTCGCTCTTCATACAAATACGCTATAAATTAAAACCGACTGTGTTGTAGGATTGCCTAATTTTTAAACAGCTCGTTATGTTGGTCTGGTTTTCGATGAAAGCCCTTTGTTCTCTGCGTATAATATTAATAATAATGATAACTATATGGTTTCTCTGCAATAGAGAGAGCAGTATGGCACGTATATTGCCTATATGAACTAAGTGGAACTGGGCTAAGCTTTATGACATACCTATGACGTAATGAAAATTTAGAAAGAAAGACAGCGCTTGAATACAGAAATGTATCAAATGCTCCGTAGAATGAAACTGGGTGTCATTTAGGTATTATCTGTCATTCATACGCGTGTCATTCGAAAACGTAGGTTGGGTTGCCTTCAAAATCTATCAGATGACCGACCCTGTGTTAA